CAGGGGGTCGAATGGCGCGGTCGACCGCTGCCGTCGGACGCTGGTCGTCTCCGGATGAGCGATGCTGTCCTCGGTAAACCGCACGGATTGGGAATTCGAACTCAGGTAGTCAGGTTTTTGGCGGTATTTTGGAAAGTTAAGTATATATATGTGTATAGTCAGTATAGTATAGTCCGTGAAAGATCTCCAAATTGGAGGGGTCCTGGCCCAATCTTCATCCAGGAGTCCTTGGTATCCTGAAAGGTGTCACACCATGTGATACACTGGCTGGAGAGGAGGTTCGTTCGGCGTTCGGACATGGGCCATGGTTTGTGGAGGCCCCGCAGGGAGTGTTCTCAGCCTGGGACGTCCTGACTTCCAACACGGGTGTTACCGTGGGACTTAATTCCAACGGTCACCATGCCACCAACGCCACCAAGTAACCATCGTCACCATGCAGAACCGAAGCAATGAGCTTCACAGAACCATTTTCTTACCACCAAAAATACACAGAACCATAGTCACCATGAGATGGAATCGATGAGTGATTTTCGTTCCTCGTTGCCCCTTGGGCCATCTGACGGCAGACCGCATTTGACCCGGCGAATCCCTTGAAATCGCGACCGGTCGGTCTTTCTCCGCCGTGGACTGCAGAGGTCGCCGTGCCTCAACGACGGCGGGGTGGGTTGGGTTAATGGGCTTCACGAATCCCTTGGATCGTCGGCAGTTGAACAAGGTGCCATGTTGGAACCATTGGAGACCAACTACCAGGGGCCCCACATGGCCCATCAAAAACCTGGGTTTTCCCTAGCAAGAACCATGGTTTTGTATGTGAAAACATGTGAACACCGTTGTTTTTCATAGTTTGTGGGGCCCCTGGTAGTCCCTTTTGGTTCCAACATGTTCCAACTACATTCGATAGGTGCACTCTCGGGACTCTGAGACTGGACGCAACTGCGGCCCTGCTACAAGGCAGGCGTGATCTTGGATGAAGCCCAGTTGAACGAGGCGGGGCCAAGGCCCAGTGGTTCTCGGACCGAGAATCTTCGCCATGCCGAAGGTGGAGGCCATTTGGTCCCAAGCTTTTTGGATGTCTAGAGTCTAGACTTTCTTTTTGTGTGTGTTCCAGTCTGTGTTGCTTGGACCACGGGGCGATTCTCCCCCTAATTCAAAGCACTGTGGAGACCGGGGACATCCTCATCTCCTTCGATGCGACGCCCGTTTCGAACACGTTCGAACTCCGCAGGTCCAGGTCCCCTGAGAAGAACAGTGCATGGAAAGCAATCTGCAGCAAGCATTATTGGAGCGGTGTTGGAGAAGCTTTTGGAGGTTCAGTGCTTCTGAGCTTGTGAATTCACCTCAGATGACCAGTCGACTGATTCTCAATGGAAGTACCTTCAGGTCCTTCGAAAGCACCGAGCCGCTCACCACGTATCGGAACACACCACGTACACTCCCGAAAACAAACATAGACCCTGACAACGGCCCCCCCGGGTCCGAGTGTTTTCCTTGACCAACCAGTGGCTTTTAGGGTCCATGGGATCGTCTTCCAGGGTGTATCGCTTGTGGTGTCAACACCCGACGCGTCGGGCCTGTTCCGACCTTCCGTGATGCGGACGACGCGACGCGGACTGGCGCGGTTGTCCAAGGTTTGCAGGACACATTCCTTCCACATGGTTGGACAGCCCTGACGACTCAAAGAGGACCTGATTTTAGGAAGATCGTGTGAACATCCACCCCCTCAGCCCCAGGATGACCCTGACTTCGAGCCAATCGAAGAGAATGGCGAAGAGGAACCCCCCCTTGCGGGGGCCGCGGGTTTCGCGGATGTTGGTCAACATCTTGGTTTGATGCCTTTTCGCATGTCTGGGGGAAGCTCAAATTGTATCAAATTGTGGAGGCACTGATATACATGAATGTGTATACCCGTATTGGGTGAAAGGTGTCACAGCAAACACCACCTCAGCCACAGCTATCCGGATGTCATACGGGACACTCAGGGTAAGATATGATCAGTACATATCAGTACTATTGGCACACTGGCTTTGATGCCTCCACTCCAAACCTCGTTTTCCACGAACTCATGGGCGCGGCTCCCACGAACATGACATCGGTCTGCGGGGTTGTTTCCGGCTTCGTGTTGGCCGTTGGCCGTTCCTAGGTGGCCGCCATTTCGCCAAGTCATCACGGCCGCTGGGGCCACTACCGTAGGTCCCTGGAAGTCCCTTGAGTCCCATCGGAAGTCCCCTGAGTCCGCTTGTTCCCGAGCCGTTGTAAACATGTCAGATGTCAATGCAGGTCAGGTTAAAAAAGAAAGAACACATGTGGATGGGGCACTCCATGATGCTTTCATGGTTTATTGTGGTGGAATATGGTGGATTTGAGTGCAAGAACCTTGACGCCGGACATCTCGTGTGTATGAATCCGAAATGAATCCCTCGTGAGTGGGACATGCCAGAAGATGGCATGGAGATGGTCTTGGCAATCCACACAGGACCACTACCAGTGATGCTTCAGTTTATTTATTTAAATGGTGGAACCCCTTCCAAGCGTGAAAAGAACGATTCTGAGGGGTTTGGCTGTGTTAGACTTCAAGGAACTCACCTCAGGGTACTTTCGGTGTCCTTTGTCAATCTCAGGACGCAGCAGATCAGTTAGAGCCGCCCTTCGAAGAGAATGAGAATGGCGAGGAGGACTTTGGAGACTGTGAAGGGACGTCCAAAGAAAGGCTTGCAGTTGCCGATCCACCCACTGGGCCACGCGAGGTCCACAATTCCATGGTACCTGGTACCGCCGTGCTTCTCATCTCATCAAGCTTTGCCAAATCTCCACGAACTTGGGAGGCTTTTGAGGGGTGTGAAGACCTCACACCAGAATATACCAGAACATTTTAACCTCAGACTCAGACAGTATCTGCGATAGTGGAGTGGAGGGTGCTTAGCCTGCTTAGCTGAGATAGGGCACTACACCCAATCACTAGTGGGCAGGGCAAACGAACGATGCGGGAGTGATGAGGAACTGAGAGAACCTCGGGTTGCGTGCTGCTGCAGGACAAAGCAGCCGATGTGGCCGATGTGGCTGATGCCGAGTTCGAAGCACCCCTCCAAGAGAATGGCGAAGAGGACCCGTCGCGAGGGGAGATGGACTTGGATATATGATGATATATGGGATTTTTGTTCCGGACGAAGAGGATGTTCTTTTGGGGTGGAACATACACATCCATTACCTTGGCATTTCTTCCACTGTGCTGTTCAAAGTGCCATTTGCAATGTATGAATCATCCAAATGGTCCGCCTGGAACGGCAGGGTTATTCTCAATTCAGCGAATCACCGACTGCGGGTTCCAAGTATACCTTCTGAGGTGGTTGGTGGGTTGTTTAGATGTTTAGAGTATCAGAATATGTTCTGGTGGTGGGTACAAGGAGCCCTATGGGACTGTACTACCATAGATTTATCTCCTCAAATGGGGGTTCTTTGACACCGGACCCGCAGGTGTGTCGACCCCGGCGCGGTCCTCCGAGAACGGACCTGCTGGCCACTGGGAGATGCTGGCCACAAGTCGCCAGAAGCACTCCACGGAGCTGATGACAAGCAGAATGGTATAGATGTGTAACCTGAAGAGCCGAATTCTGTTCAAAGGTGATCAATTCGAAGGCATTGTTATATCATGTTATATCTTAGTTGTTTGTGTGCTTTGAAAAGCTCTGGAAAAGGCACTTGGAGTTCCATTCTCCGCTAAGATTCATTCTCAAGAGATCTGGAGGAAGACTTCCTAGTATCATCCCAAAACATCCCCAAAACATCCCAAAACCTACAATTTGGGTGGTTGAAACCTGTTTAACATGACTGTAAAGGTTCAAAGAACCGGCGGCACCGACGTCATGTCCATTTTTTTGTGGGTCGTGAGTCGGTCACGGTCCGATGCTGTCGCGGTCGAGGATCACTTGGAGGTACCGGAAGAGAAGAGTCAACAGGACGAGAGGGCGTGCTTGTAGTTGGGTGCTTTTCTGAGGTGGTGAAGTGAGTGAAGTGAAGCATCAACATGCTTTTTCAGGGTCCAATCTGAGTCCAAGGCGCCGATGACGACTTTTCAAGGTTGAGACCACTGAGAGTTTGCAAGATTTCAAGACCTGGGCATACCTTTGATCCTTTTGCACGTAAGTCATGAAGCTTGTGACATCTTGTGAATCATCACTCCTGAATTGTATTGAACTGTTTGTTCGACATGTCAAAGCAGCATCATTTATTAATTTCATGATTTAGATATATTTGTACCTTCAAAGTGACAAGACCGTCAAGACCGTGTTTCTGGAGAGTGCTTAGTTGCCACTCTACTGTTGGCTGCCACAATTTTGGATCAAACCAATGCACTTGAAACTCCAATACCCTCCCCCCACATCCCCCACATCCCGCGTTGTCATCATACTTTCTCAATCATTGCGGTGTATTATACAGACATTCCCTCAGTTCCAAGACATGTTGCGAAGGGTCAGCTCTGCAGGAAGAGACGTCATGACCGAAGACGCATTGTTTTCCATCTGAAATTCAGGTCAACTGACTCAGGTCACCAAGAACACAGAGCTGCTCAATGCAGATAGCAAGCTGTCACAGTCTTAAAAGAGAGCTGGGGCCCTGGGGGAGACCAGTGAGATTGCGAACTCACTCCCTGCGCTTCCACTCCCTCCCGCGGGACGAGCGCGCGCTGCCATGACCTCGTCCCGCGCCAAGCTGTCCATGTCGCCGACCGCCGCGACCGCGGCGGGAGCCGTGCGTAAAGTGGCCGTCTTGGGTGGAGGTGCGGCCGTGGTGGTCCAAAGGTAGGTCCGGGCAGAGGTCGGACGGACACCAGGGTCTCCGTAAGTAATTAGCTTGAAGACATGAAGACTTTTATGGCCAGCTTAGAAGCAGGAAGCTTTTCTCATTACCGACTGGACACATGACTGGACACATGACCGACACGACCTCACCACGAGTGACTGACAAACCACAACGACGAGTGGCCAGGTGCCTTTGGGACAGCGATGGCCAACCATTTGGCCAGCAAGGGCATCATCGTGCAGCTCTGGGCACGCGAGGAGGAGGCACCCAGTTACACAGTTCAGCTGTCGATGGCGCCCTGCAGATTTGACACTGACTGACAGGGTTGATTTGGCCATGTTCCTTTGCAGGTTGCCATGTTGGACTCTCCCGGACCTCCGTCTCCTGCACACACGCGCCTATCGCTTTGCGCGCGCATGTTCTGCAGCGCAAGTGCGTGGAAAAGCGCGGGACTGAGCGCTTTTCCCAAAGCGGTGTAGCGAACGAACATCAGCGGGGCAGACTGATGTCTGATGCGAGACCTGGGTCTCCAGACCTGGGTCCTGACTGTATAGGGTAGTCGAACGCCCGCCAGGACACCACAGGATGATGATCCAAAACCGGGGTTGGTGAGATCCAAACCGGACGGGTTGGTGAACCGACCCCGCACCGTGCTGCTTCTCCGTGCTTCTCGGGTTTGCAGTGAGTGAAAACTGCACGTTGTGCACTCGGTTGGACCAGGTTTGACATGGATTGACTTGGTCCATTGGGTCCGAATGGCAGGGCTTAATTATAGAATATTGGTTCACATATTATATATATATATTTTTAATTAAACACTTACAGTAATATTAATATTGATCAACATTCGATTAGCAATTCAGATGATCGTATAAGGTATTACAAGATTATATATGATCATCGAATTGGCCACCTGTATGAGCAGGGGAAGCCCCTCATTGTTCCGAGGTCCCTTGGGGAAGCCCCTCATTGTTTCGAGGTCCCTTGGGGAAGCCCCTCATTGTTCCGAGGTCCTTTGAGCAAACGACCGAAATCAGAAAAAAAAGGGTGTGAGAGAGGTTGATTTCATTTGATTTACATGACCATCCCTCCAAAAAGGGACAAGGAAGTGGACCATGCCCCTGTTTTTCGTCCGAACCGTCCGCGGTACTCCGAACCGTTGCGGTGCTCCGGGTCCGTGGCTCTCGTTGCCAGGTGGTTCAGAGTGTCAACGGGAAGCATGAGAACAGCATCTACTTGGCAGGACCGGGAGGGCCGTTCGACGTATTCCAAGACATCCGCCTTGACCAACGAAGTAACCTCAGGCCGCCCGCCCGCCCTTGCGACAAGATCGATCTCTGCAGGGTTCAGGGTTGAAGGTGTTGCAGGTTCTTCATGGTTGTTCATATATATTATTGCAAAGACTTGCGGAGCTAAGATAGATCTTATTGTTCCACCTCTACCTGGGATGATTCAACCTACTGACTAATATGGTTCAAGTATGTTCAAGTGGGATGATTTAAAACAGTGAACATATTGCTCAAGTCAGTTGACACCACCAAGCCATGTCTCTTCGAGGATCCAAGAATCCACGAAACGAGTTCCAGCGTGGACAGCTCAGCTACAACATTCACTGATTCTGCAAGTTTGTTCTTAGCTGTTCAGAACAGCTCACGTGCGGTGCCATTTTGGTGGAAAGATGATTTTTTAGTCGATTGACATCAACCAAATATGCTTGCAACTAGCACTGCAAGTGGAACAGCATCTGGAGAAGGACAACTGATTCATTGGTTTTCAAGTTCCGCTGATGTTGACGCAACAGCGCCCAAGGCTTGGTTGATCTTGGTGTTTATATATCTATATTATATCTATACATCATGTGTTTTAAACAATTGAAGGTACGAATCCATGGGATGGTTTACCATACCGTTTCCATCTCCCAACATCCATGTTCCCAACCGGTGGACCGGGGGCGCTCTTCGTCATCCCTCTTTTCGAGGAATCCCTCTGAGCGAGAAGGTCGTGGCCACGAGTAGCGTTGCTGAGGCGGTCAACGGTGCGGAGCAGCACCCCGACGTCGTTGGATGCCGAAGGGATCCGATGTGCTGTCACAGGAGGGAGAGGGTGGTTAACCAGTGGGGAACGACCTATGGAGCTGGCTAAAAGAACCTCCGTCCTACATCAAATGGAATATTCTTTTGGATAATCAAATTAATACGTGACAATTCACAAGACATGGTTTGCATGGGCATGGCATGGCTTCAATCATCTTCAAACTAAACGCCCATCAGTGCATAGTAGAGATCACAATGTGCGTAGACCTATACGTAGACCATTCTACGCATGCCTCTTCTGAGATACGCTACGAAAAAGACACGCTTCTACATAGAAGGTTAAGCGGTTAAGCATGTTAAACTCAATGGAACCCAAGGCCCAAGCTGATGTTTCCACAAGCAGGCTGAGGAGTTGATTCTGTTTGTGCCTTCCCTTCTCAACATTCTCAAATCTCAGACTCCCAAGACTGGAAGAAAACAATTTGTCCAATGCTGGTGAGAGAAATCCTGCATCCTACCCTCAGCTCATTCAGACGATCGTGGGCGAGGAAGAAACCCGAAGACAAAGGGCAGGATCGTTGTAACACAACCAAAGTACTGATCACTTTGGTTGATGGTTTTCAGATACAGTGGTTTCAGAGTAGTTGCTACAAGAGTCCAGTGCTTTTGGGGTGGACCTGAAGGACATCTTGGGGTGCCAGTGCCATTTCTCACCTCTGAAACCACTGTCCTCCTCGATGGCTTCTCCTTGCGCTCACCGACGGCAGGTCCCGTCTCGTCGCCCGGACTGACGGTGTAGTCGGGGTTCCCCCGCGGCTCGGGCTCTTCAGGGTCTACTTGATCATTCCGACGCCGTTCATTGCCAAATGGCTGGAGCAGAACCAGAGCTTCCTACCCTGGTGGGTTCCGCTGGTGTGTTGCAGCAAGGGCATCTTGGACAGCGTTCTCAACGCATGTCATGAGCATTTGAGGGTCTGATCACCAAGAGAAACGGCTCACCACGAAACCAGAGTGGAATGTGGAACCGGCTTCCTTGTAGCAACGGGCTTTGGGGCAGCCCTTGTGGCGGTGTTATGTTTCAGAGTTGCACCCTCTTTGCACACACATCTTCTGCCCATTTTGGGCATGTGTAATTAGGATTGCTATGTCCAGACTATGTGGGTGTGTATTGCAATAGGGGAACCTGCTACCAATGGCTTTTGGTCTATTTTCCTTCTTCCAGGGGTCGTTGCCTAGGGGAGGTCTCCCTATTTGAGCGTCCCGCGGACCCCATGGTGGCAGGTCGGACACGTTGTAAGATGCCCCGATGTTGGACCCGCCTGTGTCGTACGAAAGATCACCGGGTTGCTGTTCGTACGAAGTAGCTGCAGGATGGCTGAAAGATCAGCAGGGAAGGTTGACCCTCTGATATGTAACTTAATGTTCTATAGGACTTCTTTGGGAGTTCCATTCCCGCTACTTGTATTCCTGCGGAGCTCGACTCAGGCATTGAGCAAGAAAGCCTTCGAACCCCGTATGAAATCTTGGTGGACGAGCTGCCCGGGAAGTACCACTCCAAGTTGGCGGTGGTCAGCGGCCCCTCCTTTGCCAAAGAGATTGGCGTGGGTTTACCCACCAGTGTGACCTGTGCAGCGCAGGACGCCGAGGCAGGGCCCTGCAGGGTGAAAGTCCATGTTTGACGGTTTTGGGTGTGTAATCGGGAGATCCCGAGCCAATGGGTTTTGGATGGTTTGGTCCATTTCCGCTCTTCCAAGGGGGTCGTTGCCTGGGAGGTCTCCCTATTTTTGCGCACCCATGTTGAGCTCCATCTTCGTGTGTGCATAGTGCAGAGTACTGCAAGAGCGATTCCTCCCAAAGATCTCTGGAAGAAAGAAATAGACCGAACCCATCCAAAAGTCATTGGTTGGGAGTCTCCCTACTTTAGTACACATAGTACACAGCCATCTTTGAGATTACTACTCACATTGTTGGTTGGTTACAGTGACCCTCAACTTGAAATTGAAAAAGAAAAATAAGTGAAGCATCAACATTTGCATACATTTGCAATCTTCTCCATCCAGAGTTGTCCTGGAGTATAGTACAGTATAGATACTGATAGACAGTGACAGAAGACATGCTATTTCTATCACAACACAATGGCAATCATCATCAATCATCTAAGCACACATTGGATTGCCCATGATTGCTCCTGATTGATTCTGTCGATTCTTATGATCGCTTATGATCCTACAACCACTTGCTCTCCACCCGACCTACTCTATTCTGCTTCTCCAAGCACACCCAAATCACGACCGGGATCCGTGGCACCAAGGACTCGGCAGACGCGTCGGACTCCTCGACTCGCAGGTGGCCAAGCAAGTGCAGCTGGCGCTGGCCACCAAGGCCTTCCGCGTTTACACCGCCACCGACGTCATCGGCGCCGAGCTCTGCGGCGCGCTGAAGAACGTCCTCGCCATCGCCTGCGGCGCCTCGGACGGCTTTGGCTTCGGCGCCAACGCGCGGGCGGCGCTCATCACACGAGGCGCCACGATCAGCACCGCGCGTGGAAGACGGGCTGATCTTTGATTGGTCTCAGAGGGCATGTGTTTATTGATGTGTATTGCAAAGATCCAGCGCCACTGGGGTAAGGGGGGCTAGCGTTTGAAACAAAGATGCTGGAAGGAGTTTCATTCTGCAGAGAGATTTGCCAGCACGCAGTGGTTTGACTGGCTTGCTGAAAAGAATGCAGCAAATTGCAATTTGTCTTACAAATGTTGTGCTGGATCCGCGCTAGCACGGCGCTAGTAGGAATTAACCAGAATTGTCCAGTAAAGGCCACCCCCTTTCGAGGTGCTGGTGAAAACTTGTAAGCGACGTTCTTGGAAACAACAGCTCAAGCAAGACAGCAGCTCAAGTTGCAGCTCTTCCAGTGGCACAGAAGGGTTGGTGCTAGCTTGTTTTGCTGAGAGTGTTGCAGCTTTTTCAGAAGCCATAGTCAAAACCCACATCTGGAGGTTTGGGATACTTTGGGCTTATTTGCAAAAATAATGAAGCGGTACGCATGGGATTGCGATTTAGCGCTGCATATGATGAGAACAACATAGAACAACCATTTTGACAAGCCTAAGGTTCAGTATGGACATCCAGCCCCTCCTCCTGCCGCTAGCGCCTTGCCTTCCCGCCAATCGGCAGGCCTGGCAGAAATGACGCGCTTGGTGGTGAAGAAGGGCGGTAAAGCATCCACCATCACTGGCCTGGCAGGTGCGGGCGCGTTCTTCGGTCTTCGGACGCTTTTTCGGGGTCTTAGGACGCGAGGACGCACGGTGATGCTCCATATGCGTCGCTCTCTTTTCCCCCAAACGCCCAAAATCTGTACCAAAAGGTCCAGAAATGCAGTCGTGTCAAGACGTCTCTGGACTCGATCCCCGTTTTCGTCTTGATCTGAATACGCACTCCAATATATATATTTCATTTGGGACTTGACTGTATCTTAATCTGGTGATCCTTCTGGTGGGTGGCACCTTTGGTCTTACTTCGTGGTTCTCTCTACATCGATCACCTCCGACCCCAAACTGTGGAAGGACCCGGTCCGGTGCAAAGGCCGATCGCGCGCTCTTCGGACGTGGGGTCGACGCGGACGGAGGCAAATGGTCATTGTCCTTGTGACCTGGGGTGATGGAGGGTGATTGGCACCGCCATGAGCGAGAGGGATCGAGATGGGATATTTCCTTCAGATTCGACCTGGGGTGATGGGACAGATGTGCAGGATGGCTTCACCCATCTTCACCCCCATTCAGCGGAATGAGCTCAATCTGATCACCTCCATTTTGAATGAGAACCGCTGGGGACATTTCGCCTGCTTTTACAGAATGAGGCCACATACGAACACATACCAACTCATATACAACCCTGAACTGGCTGCTTGAATCCGCATGAGGTGTTCATTTCCGGGTTTGAACACCAGTGGCTGTGAATCCGCTACGTCCGTGTGGAACCCTCCACGTGGAACCAACACGAAGTCCTCTCCCCGGTCGCGTGTGACCGAGGTGTGGGAGACTTGGTGCTCACCTGTTCTAGCAGCTTGTCGAGGAACTACACGACGGGCCACACCATGGCTTCCAACAGCCTTCCGGAGCACAAGAGCCTGGGCAGAAAAGGAGGATCCTCAGGAGGATGAGGGAGGGTGCTCTATGGTCCTCCTTTTTTGAGTCTTTGATTGAAAGGGTTGGGAAGATTGGGATGTCCATGATCACCATGATGGTTTGGGTGTTATGAGAAAGGAGCCGGCCATGTTTTGTGTGGCTGGGTTGAATGTCTTGAAAAGTCATGCCAACATGATGGAATGCTGCCAATTCCTATGATGGGAAGGGTTCCAATGATGGGAAAGTGGCCTGTGAGCCACACCCATCTCAAGGACTTAGGACCAGGACTTAGGACCACATCACTTCAAAGCAGATCGACTGTACAGTCCAATCGCGATCACTGACCAACATACGCTTTGAAGCCGCTTGACACCAGTGTGGCTGATGGACGGATAGGGTTCTGCTGTAGAAAACTGAACTCTTCGAGCTTCAATGATCTCCCACAAGTTAGCCGGACAACAAGCAGGAAAGAGGTAGGAACTTTGCCGCATTGTGTCAATCAGGATCTATTTGTATATGACAATCACATGAAAACAATTGAAAACAGATCATATGTTTTTCCTGCACCACAAAATGTGTTCATGCATGCCGTCGAACAATCCGGCTAAGCAAAGTAGACACCCGGCCTTGTGACAGTTTAACACCCTTATTGGAATATACTAAGCCATGCAGTTCATGCAGTTGCAGGCTCCGGAAAGTGTTTTCCTTTTTTAACACCTCCAAATCCAAGGCTTGAGCTAGTGGTGGGACGTGGGACCATTCAGCTCTAGGTGGGCGGGAAAAGTTGGATGGCTGACAATTGTCAGTCAGCTGCTACTCGACCACCTGAGGCTATTCATGGTTATTCCCTCAAAATTCCAACCGCCATTGTTTCAATGGTTTTTACATGGTTTTTATCGAACCACCATGGTTTTGCTGCAGTAAGGGTTTTACAATGGTTTTACACTACACCAGGTCCACCATGCTTTTGATGGTCTTGGACATCCAGGGTATTGTTATGCCGAATGTACACCCGACTTCGCCCAGTTGCTACTAGTCTACCGTCGCGGCGCCGAACACATCGGTTCCAGACGGTGCGGACGAAGCGTCGAAGCGTCGCGCTCGCGCCGAACCAGTCATTGGGCACGACTGCCTCGATGTAATCGATTGATGTGGATCCGGTGGATAAAGGGTCTGATCAATTGCAACGAGCACAGTTTGTACCGACACCAGGCGACAGCAAGCTCCAAGGAAACTGGTTGCACCGACTCGCAGACATGACCCGCCCAAAGAAACAACCAACAAGCTTCATCATCTGCCGGATGGGCATCCCGTATGTGCTTGTCCGAATTGGACCAAAGAGGTGGAGTTTCTGGAGTCGGAGATATTGAAGTGCACCGGTCACCCGGACAGCGAAGATTTACGAACGGATATGGTCTTGGCAGCCCCGTTCGGGTGGGTGTGAAACCAACATCAACATTCAAGGTTCAATGCTGCCAAAGGACACAAAACCATCGAATCAGTTTTGGCTGCCACGGAGCAAGTTCATCAGCCTCCCTGTTTTGCTGCCACAGAACTTGCTCCGAACCACCGAGACGATCTGTACCCTTCGGCCTTACTATCTCCTTCCCGCCTCCTACCTCTTCCCATCTCTTCCCAATTAGTTTGCTTGCTCAAACTTATATAGTAGAGTACTCATCTTTGAAGACATGTTTAGACATTTTAAAAGGTGCCCTGAAAAGAGTTCCGGTGGCTTCACTGTCGGCTGATGCGGACCATCTTGAGGTGTTAGACTTCCTGGCAGAACCCCAAACGTTCCTCGAAAGAGACTCGAGTTGGGATCCCCAACTTCAAACGCCAAACGTTCCCTTGTCCCTAGGCTTCCAACCACCATTTGTTGTCATGAGTTTTACCGAACCACCATTGTGTTACTCAGGATTTTACACTACAACACCAGGTCCACCATGGTTTTGAATGGTCGACTGGACTTCCAGGGTTGTACACAGCTTTTGGTGTCGCGTCCTGTTGTTGTCCTTCAAGAAACGAGCAGAGAGCAGCTTCAGGAGAAGCAAAGAGGAATCGGCCAAGAACTTCAACAAGGATCTCGCGGTGGCCGAGGGCGCCCTGGGATTGTTAGCTCAGATGGGGTTTGCCTTTTCCCTCTTGAAAACTCCCGTAGGTGGGAAAGTCTTTACCTCTTGTGTACGATCTTTTCGACTGCCTGGAAGCTTTCAAACACCAAGTCAGATAAGGGATGCCCAAAGCATGTTGCTGACAAGAATCAGTTGGGGATGGTTTGTTCCTAACTTCACTTCTCCTAGAACCACCGCGAATCCACCGGGGGTTAACCCCCAAACCCTTCGAGCTTCTCCATCCTTCAATTCATAGACTGGTCCCAAACAAGGTAGCAGTTGCCTGGTCACTTGGTAAATTGACATCGTCTTCCAAACTGGTTTAAGGCTTCCTAAGGCAGGAACTTGGCCACATTCATTCAGGAGTCTTACCGCAGTGCGGCGAGACTCCAGACTCCAGAGACTATGTTATCATTTCTTGGGAGAACAGAACGCTTGGGGAAACATGGGACTCACTGCTATGCTGGACCCAGTGCATTCTCCCTGTGATCGTGATGTCTTTTCAGCGCCAGGTGCCCAGTTGTTGCTGTCAGGTTCTTAAATTCTGTTGTCCCAATTCAGATTTTGGTACAAAAACACTCAATTTAATTTGTTGCTAAGCAATCTAATCCAAAACACTAAATACACCCTCCATGAGGCTAAGCCAAGCTGTTCTCTTCCAAGATTCAGCAATTCCAGGTGTGAAAACCAGCTTGGCCGTGCATTTGCTGGCCGAGAAGCTTTCGGTGGAAATGCCGATCTGTGCCGCAGTCTATGAGGTCATCCATAAAGGCGGATTTCGAGTGCAGCTCTCGCGCGGGGGGGGGGGGAGTCGAACGCGGGGGAAATGGAGGTGCGTGGCTCATGTGGTTGATCTGGGAAAGCTTGACACGTCCAAATAGGACCCTTTCTCACACTGGCTCACCATCAGGACAGTTCGCTAATGTTCGCCACGTTGAAGCAACCCAAACCAGTGACCCTGCTTCCTATTAAATTCTTGTGTCCCCATAACGACTCTCTCAAGTGAACGACTCTCTCTCTCTCTCTCTCAGGCGTTGACATCAAAACTGCCCTGAGGAAGTTGCAAGACCGGCCGTTGAGAGAAGAGCATGATGAATACCAAGGCACTTGGGTTTGGAGTGCTCTTTAAATGGATCGGAACAGAATGCTAGTAGGTTGGAGGCCATTGGTCTTAGGTTCCTTTTGCTAAATGGATCGCCCTGCACGACCTGCGCCTCCGGACGAGTCTAGACTTGGACGAGTCTAGACATGTTTCCCAAGGGAGTCGGTCAGCTCCCACGGAGAGGTGCACAGAGGGCAGTAATCCTTTTGGGGTCGATGCTCCCGCTGATGTTGCCACCACCAGCCATGTTAATGATAGAGATGGTAAGCCGCACTCTGCCAGTTTGCTATCCAGACGCTTTGATGATGCTAACTTTCTCAAAAGACATGGGCACGGCAACCACGGGAAGCACCTCGCTGCCCCATCTTTTAACAGATCCGTTTCTGATAGAGCTTTCTGTGCACATGCTGACTGCAAGCTGATCTGACCAGACAATGCAGCAAAAGGATCAAGACAGTTGCAGGAAATGGTTCTATCTGGCTTTATTATAGTGCATGTAGGCGAGTGGCTAGTCCAAAGGCTGAGGTGCAGCAAAAAACGAACATGTTCTCATTAGATTCACTTCTTGTCTTTACCGGGCCTGGAGATTGAAGCATCAGCACGTGCAGCGCGCATCGCTCGGTTTCGTTATGGCTGCCAGGCCACTGGTGTCGCGAAAAGACATGACAACGTTGAATGTGGGTCAAAGCTGGGTCGCTTGCCAGGTTTCAAAATAATGAGCATGAATCCGAGCAGCAAATTTGGTTTCCACATGTTTAGGTGATCATGGTCCTTGTCCTTCGAGAATGTGTGTGTGTGTGTTTTCGATCTATATATGCGAGCTTTTGAGAGTCTTCAAGCCCTGGTCGAGCAGGATTCCAGCTGCGAAATGTCAGGGACCCTACGGTGCAGGTCAAAGTGAACCTCTAGAACTCCGATAGAACATGATAGAACTAGATTGTGTCCCATTACCATCAATTACCAGTAACACTCGGTAAAAGATTATCACTGTTTGAGAAATCATCGTCATCATCTTCACCACCACCATCATCATCATCATCATCACCATCACCATCATCATCCATTGTTACTGCTAGTATGATATACCCACGATAGAACTGAGGCAATTCGGTGATCCCCTCAGTAGGCCACTTGGATCGATTTGGTTGTGACGATGGCACCTCAATTCACGCACGTGAGGATGAGCTGGTGGAGATTTCGCCTGAGAAAGCCGAGGAGGCTGGGTGTGCGGCATTTTCAGACATGTTCAACGCGAACATCTTCGAACGGACATAGGCGGCTGACAGGATTTCGGTGTACTTGCGGGTACGATAAGCGTTGAAGTATAAGTTATTATTCGCCTCCGCTCTATCTTCAATGTTCTATCTTCAATGTATACAGGATTTCGATGGATTTCGATGTATTTTCCGCTGCATAAAATGCATTAGAAGATAGAGCAGAGGCGATGTACAGAGGCGATGTACACCACTGAACCAGGTGAAATGCGGAAACATGACGCGTGTGGGCGGCGGTGAATTGACGAAATCCCTTGATACCGGGGTATTGACACTTCAACACAGAAACTATGGAAGTGGATGGAACATGTATTGATATGCAATGATTTGCGGGAAGATGTTGTTCTGAAGACCAACAGGGAAGTGGACACCTAGTATATAAGGACAGGTGAACTACAAAGCTCTATACTTGACCCATGATTTTTTGACAAAAAAATCCGGATTCTTTCAGAACCTGATGAGTGGACTCTGGAGTCTCCGGAGTTTGAGAGCCAACGAGAGGCATTGGACCCGAAGCAACCCTTCGCCTCAAGCCTTTGAGGGTCCATGATTCTTAGGGAGAGATAGGCGGACTCTTTCAGAGTCACCTGACCAGGTCCCAGTGTTTGTTTTAAAAAATTGTGTTATTTCTGTAGTACCATAGTACCGCAATACCAGTCTTCTTTGGCAACCCCTTTTGGGGGTGTCCTGTCTTGAGATCCCTTAGGTCGTGGTGGGCTGGTTAGTGTCAGGTCCTGACACGCTCTCACTGGTGACTCGGAGGGAATCAGGATGACCGGATCCAGCTACCCGGTACCCAGGAACAAGGGAGTGACTGGCATATTTACATTATACATTGACCCACATCAACCACCCCCAACTGATCGGTATGCCACGCCACAATACCCAGACACGACCTGTCTAGAAAACTGACATAGGACTGCCGATCAGGCCACAGGCGGTAGTTCAAGGGTCTCGGTGCCCGTCCGTTCGAACAGGCGGATCCGGACCGAGGGCCACGGCGGGAAGTGGCGTATCAGGAGGCGGGGCATGGCGCTCGCGGCGAGCGCAGGGTTCAACGGGAGAGAGGATTGGCCCTGGTGAAGCAGGGCATTGTGGCGAATTGCTGAGAGAAGCAACATGTTGTGTTGCAAAAAATATATCTCACACCTCAATCATGATGTTGAGGTCAACCCCCCATGGATTCAACATTGGAAGATTTTGGAAGAGCTCACATCCGTGACATGTTGCAAGAGTTTATTATTTTTGCATGCGTCCAGGCCCTCCTTCACACTTTTTTAAAATCTATGACTCCCAAGCGAAGCCGAGCTTTCTCTGCTTTCATGTGAGACGTTGGAGATGGAGTGCACAAGGAGGCTCAGTTGCGTGGTCTTGCACAATTCCTACTACACTCTTGACCAACATGGAAGTGGAAGATGGTCCCTTGGAAGACTACTTTCCTTTACGAACAGGGTGGTTTCCGTTCGTCGGAGTGTAGAGATCAATGACACCACTCTGGCCCCTACCCACCCCCTAGCCCTGCCGCGCCAGGCTTGCTTCGTGGAGCCCGGCAAGGAGGCGCAACGAGTGAACGGTGGGCGGAAGGGACCTGAGCCACGAAGGTGGATCGGGTTGGAAGGACGACCGATGCTCGCAGGGCAGCTGGTGGCACTCGGAAGACGAAGGCGGCGCTCGGAGTGGGGAGCGCTCGTAGGACTGGAAAGTCAGCCAAAAGGGGCATGTTACAGACATTTACAGACACCCTTAGCTGAAAGGGGTGGATGGCCACCGGATCTCTGAAACGACTTCAGTTAAGCGGAGAAGAGCCCACGTAGTACTGACCTAGGGAACTGGGTGGATTGCGATCTGAAAACTCCAATCTTGTCGTGTGACCGTCCAGTCAGCAAGGCCTAGTCCAGTCAGCACCGAGAAAGCTGCTTTGCGTTGGATAAAGCTCGGTGGGCGCCACACTGTTCATTGAACTCATTGACGCAACCGTTCGAATCCTGTGGCACTCCTTGTGACGGTGCGACCGAGACCTCCAGCGCACCTTCGACCCATCGAGACCTCAAGAAGCGTTGCAGCGTGTATGTGCCGTTGATGTGCCACATGCTATGTATAGACTCTTGATAAAACCGACCCCCCATTTGAGGAGGATGTCCAATTCCAGCATGGGGGGGTAAGAGTCATCAAGAGTCTACATGACTTGCAAGGAAGCTTTCGCTGGACACGAGTCTACCTCCTGGTTTCACGTCAAGACCGACGGATTTTCTCATCGCTGTCTTTGGAAAACCAAGACGTAAGGCATGCGACCGGGGTTCCTGTTGAAGTAAGCAAGGCAGGCAAGGGGCAAGGTTTATGAAAGATCCACTCTTGTGGTACACTATGTTACAGTATGTTTTGGTACAATACTCGCACATTACTGTTTGATAGATTCCTAAAATATAGAATCATGGGTTCATGAAGGGTTTGGTCGGTGGTTTCAGAGGTGAGACATGGCACTGGATGGCACTGGCACCCCAAGATGTCTTAGGCAGATGGGGGTCCCTATGAAGTACCTTTAAACTTATTTGGGGCAGTGGGTCAAAACCGCTCGTTTTCACCCTGGTAGGTTGACCTTTGGACCCTGCTAAGCTATTCAGGTTCGGTGGTCAACCAGGGTTCCCCCCTGTTTTGATCTACTGCCATATCGTTTATCTTTTTCCCTCTATCTATATTCCTTAAACCCCCACCATCGGTGGTCTCATCACCTCAGCTGTCTCAAAGAAACGCCGTGGCAGATGGTGCGGGTGACGTTGGTGGAGAAGAACGATTGGAAGTTGGTGCCGTTGGGATGTCAGGCCTGGTTGCCGAGATGGTCTCAGGAACCCGGATTTCTTCCAGCCTGGCTTGAGGGGTTCTGCCCAGAAGACAGGGATGGCAGTTCTTGATTTTCAAGCAGCACCCCCACTATGACGGTGGTGCTTCGGCTTTTGGTAGCAGGGATAAGTGCAGACAAGGGAACAGTCGCATAGCAATTCGATGCAAAACTACAAGGTAGATCAAAAGGTCGACATAAGAATGGCGTCTTCGTGTGAAGGAACTTAGATCAACCACCATATGGGAGCCATCTTGCACGCACACATTCTCCACTCAACCAAACCCTCTTCGTGGAATCGGTCTGGGATGGCCTCCAGCGGGCCACGTCCAACGGCCTCACGATGATCCGGTCAGCATCAACGTCTGCGGTCCGCGGTTTGCGCTTCACGCGGGTACTTCCACAATCTTCCACATGGTTTTCCGGTACTCTTGAGGCTCTTAATCTAGATCCTCGTGTGTGCAATCATTCGACCGGGAAATCAACGCCCCCTGCGCCTGCAGTCAGAAACTGTCGAATTATCCTGAGAATTCTCGAGACGATCACACAGATCCATATTAAAGCTCCATATAAAACGTAGTCTTGAACGGCTTGGTTTTAAGAAACGAATCTGGGCGGGAATTCCTTTCCACCTTTGCGTCCCGCTCCAACAAGAAGTCACCCAAGCCTTCATTAAGCATCATGTTGATACTGATACAAATCAAAATGCGCCCTGTTATGAGGAGTTCCCAAAGCAATATGATACGACCAATGCATCCATAACAGTACTGGAATACATATTTAAAAGTTTGAAGCAAGATGTGGTCTCAGGTGCTCAGTCTCCTTCGAAGAAAATTATCACTCGTTGCTTCAGTTGATTTGTTTTCGGGCTAGTTTAATCGATTTATGTGATGCCGCATGTCACAATTCGCTGACTT